TTAAAATTACTTAATTTTAATATAAACAATGTTCTAAATTATATTATTATGTTTTATTAAAACTAAATACGAATGGGTAGACTCGCCCCGCGAATTCTGGCTTTTTGTTTAGAACAGCAAAGCTTACATTCTTTTTGTCTTTTTTTTCACATAAAATTAATGCAATCTTAGTCTTAGATAAGTTTATCACTTAACCAAAGTGAAAATAGTAATAATAATAATATACTTACGGAGCACCAACTAAAAGTTTGCTGATTTTCAATACAAATCTCTCAAAAGACGTTTGAACAGGTCGGTTAAAAAGACACCAAATAAATAAAAACGGATCAAACTACTACAGCGCCATATTCCTTAGAGTCTGAACTAAGTTCTCCATCGGTAAAAATTTTTTTATTTGCAATTTAAAATAGTGAAAATTAAATAAAACTAAAATGGGTAGACTCGCCCCTGGATGGGTAGACTCGCCCCGGTTTACGGTATATATTATTTTATTCCAACTTAAGACACACAAATAATTTCTGATATAGTAGAATCCATGATTAAATGAAGAATAAAAACAAAACAAAAAAAAAGAATTAAAGCTGAAAATGTTAATGGAGTTAGGTGTGTGAAAATTTCTATAAGATTAATGTATAAATTTTTGCAGAATCCTATTCACATAATTCAAAAATAGAAGTCTGAAAATACTCTATAGAGTTCTGTAAAAACTCTATTATAGTATCATCAGTGTGAAACACTAGATGAAAGAACATTCTTTATTCTAGAATTTTATTCCAAATGATTTAATAATTTAAAAAAATATTTATCACATGTATCACTGAATAAAAAATAAAAAAAGAAGGTTCTAAATTTTTAAAACCTAAGAAACCACTCAAATTATAATTTGACTGTGAAACTATTCACACACACACCCATAAAAAAAATAAAAAACTACACAGTGAAAAATTTATGAAATAAAAGAAAATAATAAAATTAAACATCAAAAATTAGTATGGAAGATATATTCTTATTATCAACTAAGAAGTGACTTTTTCTATGCAATAAATTTTTCTAATAACATTAGGGTTACAGAAATATTTGCAAATCTCTAAGAAATATTTAATGGAAACAATTATAAAAAAAAAATAGTAATAAAAAAAATATAAGTCAATCTGCTTATAAGACAAACAAATTTAAAATGGTAGTGGAATATATTTCTCTATCAATTAACATTGATAAATATATTTTAAAAAATTAACTTAATAAGAAATATTTTTAGGTGGCATTTATCGTTTAATGATGAACGGCAAAAGTTGTTGCAAACTAATAAAGCTAATTAAAAGCTTTGTAGCATAAGTTTAATTAGCTAAAACACTTATTTTGATATAAATTAAAGCAGAATGAAATAGACAGATTTTGATATGACTAGATTTTGATTTCAATCAGTATCATTAAAAAAAACTATGAAACACAAACACCTCTGAGATAATAGTTATTGTGTTATTAATAAAACAAATTAGATTGAATTGAATGCAGTGATTAATATGGGGGAAAAAACAGAATTGGTTAGACCACAAACAACACTGCCATAAATAGAGGTACTTTGAAATCATGCAACTTATGTTTACTTAGAGGAGGTTATCCCATGAACAGAAAAGATATAAATGATAAATTTATATACAAACCATTAGTTGGACTGGTTTTCGATCTAACAGCTTGTTTAATAACCCTAGGTGTAGCTAATGGCTCAGCTATAAAAAAATAATAATAATTAGTACCAATTGATATATTGAAATTATAGAAACTTTAAACTGCAATGATATAATGTTTACATAAAACATTCAAAGTAAATTGACATCTAATTAAATACAATGCAGTTTCTGAATATTTTGTTTTAATTTTGTTGAAACTAAAACATTTTAAATATAGAAAAATTGAAAGAAAGCAATTTTTAATTCAGCAATTTTTAAAAAATTAAAAGAAAACAAATTCTTCTAATTTTTAAAATCCTTTAAAACAGTTTACATTTTTTAAATAAAAACATTTATTAACATTAGTCAAGTATTTATTTTTATTATAAAATATGCATTCATGGAAATTTATTGTATTTTGCTCAGTAATTTTTTAATGATTTTTTTTAAAGGATGCTGTTCAGTAACAACTGAGCATGCAGAAACTTTTTCCTAATTGCAATCATTAAAGTATAGGAAATATTGAAAAATAATAAAAGACATAAAATTACCATTATTACTACTCGAAGGCAAATTACTTGGTTGAAGTATTTGACTAAGCCTTAGTGCCTCAAATTTATTACGCTTCCTAGCCAGACCCTCAGGATCTAGACAAATAATAAGGATTAAAAATCTTGAAATACAAATACAACATACTAAAGAATCCTTTATAACAAACTTAATTTATGCCTAAATTGATGCTACATTTTAAGTAAGACTTGAGATTTAAAGCAATCCAAATAACTTTTTTTGACACAGAATTATGTTTAAAATGGAAACATTTTAAACTCATTAAGTTCACAAAAACTTTATTAAAACAATATTTTAATTTGGGAAGTAATGCATTAAATATTAAAATAACTTTTAAGTAAAGTACCTTGTTTTAATGGGATAAAACAAAATGTCCTAGGTTTACCAACAGCTCCATCTGAAGGTCTGCGCAACTGAACAAAACAATCAACACCTTGGGGAACAGTTACATCTCTGTAGGCAGGAGTTTGAAAAGATATCGCTGCTTTGCGATGAACATGATGAGGAGCAAACTTTCCATTGGCACACCAAATTATTTTATTGTTTACTTCTTCATAAAATAATATCTGAATATCATCTACAAATCAAAAAAAAAATATTATTTTTATTTAAAAATCGGTTAATTTGGCAATCTAGTTGATTGGTACTTGGAAAAAATACATAAATCTAGCGCTTTTTTATAAACATATATTTTAACTGCAAATTTTTAATAAACACTGCAAATTAAAATGAAAAAAAAACTCCTTTTCAACTTAAAATTAGTAAAAACTTACTAAAAAACCCCGAGGCAGAATCGCAGTGACATTGTCACAGAATGTTACAGAGCTCTTGCAGAAAGATTTTTATTTTGAAAAGTAAAAAAAATTACTTTTCTTTATTTGAATCATGCATTTAGATAATCACTTTTTGAAGCACTCAATTTACAACGATAGTATTGTAAATCGATGTAATGTTTCAATTGTGTTTTTGGCAGTTATTGATATTGATTTTCACAGGGTTCAATTGTGATTTTTTTCCCGATATCAAAAAAAGTAACAAAACCTTTAATAAGAAAAAAAATAATTTCCATCTATTGCCAATATAAATTACAACTAACGTCTCAGTACAAAATTTTTTAATTAATAATTTTTCTAAATTATATAAAAAAAATTTAATTAATAATTTTTCTAAATTATATC